ATCGCTGAAGTTTCTCGGAAAGAATTTCTACGGGAAATTAATAAAAACAGATACGTAACAATACAATCAAATATTAAATGATAAACTCACTTTTGTGGATCTGCAATGAACATGGCCTTCTCCTGAATAGTGTCCATGTCATCAGCGTTGTCACACAGAACTCGGCAAAACCGGACTTTTCGTATCTCCTGGAGTTGCTCTGAAAAGTTGCAGAAAACAGAAGCAATTCTGTAATTTTAAGACTTAAAATAATGTAGTATTCTACTGAAACCTTAGAAAAAAATTAACCTTGTGGATCTTTCGTAGCTATTAAAGCAAGAATACACTAAAATAGTGTATCAATATAAATATAATAGTACTGTCTGTCGTATGTCCATGTAACTATTTCGCAGGGTGTGGATGGATCTTCACCAAAATTGGAATGGAGGTTTATTCAGTCCATGTGGAGATATATGCTTTTCAGTTTTGTGTTTTGCAGTTTTTATGGGCGTTTTTTACCATTACTTCGCTCCCTCTAGATGGATCTTCACCAAATTTGGTATCGAGGTTCATTAGGTCCATGCTGGGGTACATAAAAACTTTCAGTTTTGCGTTTTACAGTATTTATAGGCGTATTTTACCACTACTTCGCTCCCTGTTGATGGATCTTCACCAAATTTGGCATGAAGGTTTGTTGGATTCATGAGGAGATACATACAAACTTGCGATTTAACAATTTGTGTTTTGCAATTTTTATGGGCGTTTTTTACCATTACTTCGCTCCCTCTAGATGGATCTTCACCAAATTTGGTATCGAGGTTCATTAGGTCCATGCGGGGGTACATAAAAACTTTCAGTTTTGCGTTTTACGGTATTTATAGGCGTTTTTTACAACTACTTCGCTCCCTGTTGATGGATCTTCACCAAATTTGGCATGCAGGTTTGTTGGATTCATGAGGAGATACATACAAATTTGCGGTTTAACAATTTGTGTTTTGCAATTTTTTAGGGGCGTTTTTTACAATTACATATAAGGGAAGCAACTTTTCATGTCATAAGATAACCTTTCTTTTAATCATGAAGTTACATAACTTCCGTCCAGGGGACAGGTACTCCAGTTAGTATTTACTTATGTTTTTATCAACAAAACAAAGAAATACACCATTTATAAGTTATTAATGATGTGAATTTTTCTGTTATAAAGTAAACAGAATTCTTCCGTAGGAGTTGCGTGGATGAATGAAATTCACTTTAAAGTTTACGTTTTGTAGACGTTTCATTCGTATGTTATCGCATAGTTACACGTAAGGAAAACAAACAAACATAGAGGATTCTATTAACAATGTTTAACTACATGCGAGATAAAATAACTTTTAACAAAACTATAAATCAGGGTTTCGCTTCAAAAATATTTTTTTTTATTAATGTGTTATTATTATCACATTAGTGAGAAAAGTACATTGACTCTTGTATAACCACCAGTGAATCTATTTATATTACTTTTTTAATATTATGCAAGTAATTTAAACATTTCCTTTTTGTCACAAGTCTTTATAAAGTTGCTCTGTAGTTTGATACATTTTTACAGCAGCTTCACTTTTAATGTTTAATAACTTGTAATATTCACCAAGATTCTTTTCGTGCATACGAGCGTGCGATGACTCTACAGCTCAACTGAGCCGACATTTAAAAGAGGCAAAAAAATGATAAGACTTACCAGGACTGAAAGATGAGGACCAGCCACCATTTTCGTACCAGAATCGATCTCCCCGTCTCAAATAGCTGAACTGCTCTGCAATTAAACAGGCAAATGTTGGGCCTACAACTGCGTTAGGCATGTGGTACTCAGAAATACCCGCACTCCACAAATCGATGTCGTCTACGTGTCTGTTGATATAGAAAAACAAGAAACAAAAACATTTCACGATCATACAACGCAGTTTCCTTAACCTTTATTCACATCAAATAAAGCCATTTCTCTTCAGTGCCTAAACGTATGAAACCACTGCACATCGGGCAGTTAAGAATCAAAGCTGTTGGACGTATAACTCGCTCCTATAAGTTACCTTTTCTTTAAGAATTAATCTTGCCAAATTATTTTTCACACCGAATGGTTATTTAGCCTTAAATGCTGTGATGTGATCCCCTGCATCTTTAGAGCTTAAATACAGCGTTACTCTCTCTCACAAAGTGCAGGTTTCCGGCTTTAGCATCCACTAAGCTGAAGAAACACGAGCATTCTTACCAACCGACCGAGGTAAGGCGTTGACCCAGTAGCTATTCCTGGGAAGGCACTTTTTAATTGCTCAGACACCGGGATACTATAATACCTTAATCTAAGAGCTTCTTCTTTCGACCACCGTGTTATAATATAGCTTCTAGATAGGCTAGAATCAGTGGTTCCTAAACCGTTGGTCGCAAAAGATGTCGGAGTGAGTCTTTTTTTTTTTTTATAAAGAACTTTAAAATGATCCTAAAATATGTTTCAACAATCAAAACAAAAAGACAATGTACAAGAGTTGTACACGACATTACTGAAATATATTGGAACAGCGACCTCCTCCTCCACCAGTTGAGCAAAGTCCCAGAACATTGGCTGTCTGCTCGGGAGAAGAGCATGAGTTGAGAAAGTTGAGGAAATCCTGGTCTAATTATCTGTTATTATTATATTATAAATTAATTTTTCTTAGATGAAGTTAATCAAAAATATAAATATTCTATATTAAGCTTCACCATCCCTTAAGAGTCAACATCAGATTTATGTTGAAGTCTATCATCATCATAATTTTAAATATGATGCTAAACACAATTATTCCTTTATAAGTGGATTTTTATGCATAAAGTGGCAGATTGACAATACTTGGTAAATCACGAGATGGTATAAAAAAGTTTAACGTTAAAGGTAAAACAAAACTACGCATTCGCGAAACATGACTGAATTTTAAAATGTATTTAATCTAATGAGTGCAAGTCTTAAGATATGACAGTGTTATCCCAATTGTAAAGTAAAACGCCTACTTTATTATTTAAACCCTCAAATTAACGACTTCTTTATATATCATTCATTACTTACGGGGGTCCACATAGTGCCTTATATTGAGTAAATATATATTTCTACCTGTTATAACATTTAGTGTAAGGATCTCATCAAAATATATTGAGCGAAATCGCCCACTTTCTATGTAACGTACACAAGAAACCGAGCAGTAATTAATTGAATTGTGCGACTCACGTGGTTTATTAGAGATCGTGTAACCAACAAAATCACGGTTCTGCAAGCAATTTGATGCTGTCATGCCATAAAAGACTATTTAGTGTAGATATTATTAATTCATTTATTTTTTGGGTGAATATTTTATGATTGTTTAGTTTTGTTCATTACTAGAGAGTCAGCAGCAATTATTTTAAAGTAAATGTTGTGAAAAGTTTAGTTACATAACTCGGTAAGAGTCGTACGTTGTGTTTGTAACTCATTAATGTCGAGATTATTGAACTCCGCGTGAAATTTATTGATGTCGAGGATATAGTGAGCAGACTATTCAGTAATAAACATATAAATAATGTGAGATGAGCAGGAAAAGTAGACAGACAGACAAAGACAGAGCAGACGAGAAGTAAAGTAAAGTTACGAGAAGGAATTCGGCCAAAGAAAAGTTAAACGCAGAGTTAATCATCGTAGGAATGGGAGGCTTAACGATTAATAAAGGCCTAATCTTTGATATATTAGAGTGATACTGACTGTGTTGAAAGAGTTAAGAAGAATAGTATATTTCGTCAAAAAGAGTTATAAAGTGATTGAACTAGCCTCAGTGGACTTTGACAAATAGACAGGCGATTCTCGGAAATACAAAGAGAGAAAAAGGAGCAGACGATTTTAGAATTAAATGATATATCTGTGGAAACTCGACGATAAAGTAAGTGAACTACAGTCGGATAGTTTGGCGATAGTAATAGAGAAAAATAGTTTGGCTTGTCAACTGAAATTCTAAAGCAATTGAATAGGCCTAAGTAGACTTTTGACAACAAGAAGAGAACTATATAGTGTTTATGACATGCCTATGATTTGTATAGTGTACACACGTTTAACTAGTTCCATATATACATATATATATATATATATATATTACTTTGAACACAAGTGGAGTTAGTGCTGTTCGTTGATTTTTGAATTTATCGCCAACAAGTCACAGACGCTTGCTGTAGAAGAATCCTAAGCCCCAAACCAACAAAACAGTATATGTTTATACTATTAAGAAGTTTTAGTAAAAGCCTTTAGTTGACAATTGGAGAACATAGCTTAACATTTGACAAATGCATATATATATAATTTAGGAAATTTGTTTAAAAAGTCCAAAGAATCCATGTTTCACTGGTGCTTATGACTTGTGCTGCCCCACTGAAAGTCTCTTAATCTATAGTTTGTACCAGAAGCATTTCCGCTTGAGGCTAGAATCTTTAAACTGTACTGCTACATTTAACATCTGTTTTAAAACCACAGACCGGTTTGAATGGCTATTTATATTTTTATAAGATCGGAAAACATTAAAAAAATGAAGGCTATAATTTTCATGTAGCACCTACAAGATCTCACATTATTACAGGGGTCGATTAAAAAATCAGTTGTTTGTTAATATTTAATGTTTTTCAATATTTACACAAATCAACTCGTGGGCCATCTGCGTTAGCCGTCCCTAACTTTGAACTTGTAGATTTCTTTTATCTGACGGATTAGTGGGATTTGACCGTCATCCTTATAACACAACTATGCCCCCAAAATACGAAGCGTGATTTTTATTTTATTTCTGCGGTAATTGTTACGCGTAGGACAGACTCGCAACTCCACAGTCCAGCATGCTAACTACTGGATCACATTTCGCTCTAAAAAAAATCCCAAATTTAATTTCTTGAGAAGCAGGTTTCAGTGTGATGAATATATTGCGTCTTAATTTTTAGTACTTTGCGTTCTCATGAACATTTGAATGTTTCATAAACTTGTGCAAAGCTTCAAATTTACATTTACTTTGGAATTAGCATTAAAATCAGATGCTACAGATTAGTTTCAAAACTTACTTCTTTTGCAACCAAATTAGATTATTATTACTTTTGTGATCTAAATTATTTTCCAAAACTAACGTTTGCTGTCACCTACCTATAGATTTGTGAATATCTTTGTACTGTCGTATTTGGCATGATTCCGATAAGATCATGAAAATCGCGTGCCTTTCGAAGTCCGCAATATTCCCTGTAGAAGTTGTAACCAGGATTACCATGTTCTCGAGAACGCTGCATATTGACAGCAGCCAAGTCCATGCCGAATCCTTCACCAGGTTTCTCGAAAAGGTGATTAGTCACCTAATTAACAGATAGGAGGTCTGAGTTTTAACCATTAACGAAGGCTTACAACCCGTAATATAACTGTTTCAAAACTAAAATTTCGTAACTATAGTTGTTATTAAAGTATATATGTGTAATACTAAAACAATAACCTCCAACCACATCTGACACTTGAAAAAAAACAAAAAAAACATCACACCCAACCTACCTCGGTGGTCACTTCAGGGTCCATCCTGTTGGACTCTTGGTTCATTAATCCCATCAAAAAGGTGTCCATGATTCCCGGCTTGTACAAATCATATGGTTGACGTAGCTGCTTAGACAAACGGATGGATTCTGGCAGAAGGAGGGAAGGACAGTTGTACATCTTCTATTTTTAATACATGTTAGTAATAGTACCTTAGCTGTTCAGATTAGATAATAAAAATGATGTAAAAAATAAAGCTGAAAAACTGCAAAAGAGAGTTGAATGAACCAGAAAATTCTGAAACTAAAGAAATTATTAGCCTTTAAGTATCTTACGAATGATTGTTTCTTTGGTACTCTTATCTAACTGAACATTGGAGTTTAATCGTCACTTTTATAGCACACTCACGGAATGTGTTTTTGCAGAAACGAGACGCTAACTGTGAACCCGAGGGTTCGTAGCCCAAGTATGCTAACTACTAAGATATGCTCTACCTGGTTACATATGTACTTACCAAGTTTTTCATGGAATTTATTATATCTTTCTGTAACATCAGGAAGTAAACTGTGGCCAAAACGAAATGCTGCGGTCTGAAAAGCTGACCGAATCCCAGCGTTTACTTTAGGGTTGTAACCATCATAATAGCCCTACAAAACGGGAATGAAACAAAAGATTCGGTTAAACTGCACCAAGAAAAGTAAACGCTTGTATGTCAAAAGTAAGTTCTGTCATTTCTTTGGGGACAGAATTGTGTGTTACATCTTCGTAGACATAAAACTACAAGCAATTACAAAAAAAAAAAAAAAAGAGGAAGTAACTAATGATGATAAAAGGGAAGCAGATAAATGAGATTTTTTATATTTTCTATTTTCTGAGCACCGGAGGATTAATTGTATTTTAAAGCACTGATAATGGTGAGTAACCTAGAAAAATAATATGAGGATGTCATATGAGAAAAACTGAGGCTTGATTTGAATTTCGCGCAATGCTACCCGAAGGCTATGTGCTAGCCGTCTATAATTTGGCAGTGATGGACAAAGGGAAGGGAGGTAGTCCACACCATCCACCGTCAATTCATGGGCTAATCTTTACCAACGAATAAGAGAATTGACCGTCACATTATAACGTCCCAACAACTGAAAGGTGAACATTTTCGAGGACAGGATTAAAACCTTCAACCCTCAGATTGCGAGTAGAGTTCTCTAACCACTAGGCCATGCCAGGTCTACTGACACGGACAAAACCTTTATTGGTTTATTATATACAGTAATAACCCCATTTTTTACAAGTATTTCGAACAATTCCTTTAAACACTCCCAATCCCCCACCCCACCCCTTCTACATTTATTCAATCGCATATAACAGTTTATTTGTTTGGATAATATTTCGTTCAAGGGTCATTCGAGTTAGTAAGTAAACATAAATGTACAGAACTACGTACGTGGGGAAGAAGCTGTAAACCGTATTTCTTTATATTCTGAACTCCGACCACTGCAGGAAGGAACTCCTTATAGGTGATGTGCTGTAATTCAGCAATGATGATGTGACGAGTCTCTTGGTAAATCTTCTCGTCATCCCAGTGAGGGTTAATCTGTCCTAGAGCTTCAGCAATCCTGTTGTGCTCTCTCATCCATATAGTATGCATCACAGCGAGTACCAGTTGTTCATTCACTCGTTCATCGCCTGAGGGGAACACAGCAAAGGAAAAAAAGCTTTTTATTCAATAGAAAATGTTAAATTATTTAAAAAGTTTAATAATATATTTTGAATAAAGCAAAGAAAATATTTTTTTCACTTAAAAAGAATAAAATGATTAATTTTTCACGAGCATATTGCGGTAATTTGTAATAAATAAATGGTACACAGTGTTGTGAGTTAGATTAATGTGCGTGTAAAATAACAATATGAAGAAAATCTATTTGCAACAAATATTGAAGCGTCACCTACCGGCATCAAAGCAGTAAGCACTTCTTGGCCTAGCATTGCACCCAACGTCTGGATCTACAGTTTTCATGGGTAGAAGATCTTTCAGGCCTAGTTTGCGATGGAGCGGAAAGGTTTTCAGGAAACCTAGAAGTAATTTTTTATTATTGTTTAAATGATTTGCTTGTACTTTTTTTCTTCTTTTAAGTATAAACATGAAATATGATTAAATGTGAGACAGATTTCGATTAACTGCACCAATTAATGTAGTTAGTGTTGTGCTTGTAAGTTGTAGCCTATATTTTCAACCTACTTATATAAAAAATTGTGTTGTTAGTGTTGTACTTGTAGCCTATGTTTTTAACCTAGAATTTTCTAATTGTATTGTTGCTTTCACGAAAGTTTTTTATGTAACGTCATAGGTGTGGTCTTAATTTATTCAACTTTTTCCACAATTTATGAAATAATTAGAACTTTATACGTATAAACGCGTTATTGAGTATGTTACAGTAATTTACCGAGTTCACGAGTTTGTTAGTCATGTAAAGTAATCCGCGAATGATTTTGTCAGTTTATTACCATCAGCTAGTTAGTACAGTGCTGCGAATATTAAGTTTGTGTTTTTAAACTGGGCTGTTGGTTACGCTGAATATGGGACTGAAGGGGAATATTTAAAACGTTTTTGTTACCGTTAACTGTAGACTGGACTTTCCAATATTCTTTCTACAGAACTATACGAAAGAACCGGACTAACAAAGAAATCATTAACAACATAAGTCAGTCACGCTGGGAAAAAAAAACAAACAAAAAAAACAAGAAAAAAAACTATTGCAAACCATCGCTTAAATCTCTCAGAATACTCTAGTGGTGAGGATAAGCATTTAAGAGATGTAACATTCAGTGAACTAATGAATACGGAAGTGTTTGTTTGTTGTTGTTAAGCCCCAAAGCTACACAATTAGCTATCCGTGCTGCGCTCACCACGGGTATCGAAACTCTGTTTTTAGCGTTATAAACTTTCAGACTTACCACTGCGTCACTGGGGGGGGGGGGGCAATACGGGAGTGAAAGGAAAAATCAACTAAACTAAAAAGTATTCATATGTACAGTATTTTATTAATCCCCCTGTTTCTAATACTT